AAAAAAAGTGTGCATCTTATTTGAGGGCATGTGGTATGAAAGGGTTCATTCTGAACTTAAGTAACAACAGTAAATCCCTTTTTTGGATAATGTACATTTTTAGACATTGAAAACATGCCTGAATAATGACCAGATAAGCTAAACTATTAATACATGCACCCTGCTGTAAAGTAGGGCCCTAGAATCAATAAGTTAATAATTTGCTACACAGCAATTTATGCAACAGTCCATGAATAGATAAAGATGATGTAAGAGTAAACTATTGTTGATACTCACACAGTCATCAGTGGCATCTTTTACAGCAGTAATGGTTAATACTAGTGCTAAAGGCACAATGGTAGTAAACCAGGATAAGGATGATATTTCTGGGATCAACTACAAGAGAAACATTTTTAAATTTTTTTTAAAAAGTACAGTAAAAATATTCCAGAAATATATTTAATTTAAATCATTTCCTTGAAAATTACTAGTAGCTCAAAAAAATGATTAGGTTTTTGTCTAAATCAGGGGTCAGCAAGGTTTTGCAGTGAAGGCCTGCTTTAATGGAGCTTACCTCTGAGAACAGGACTCTTCCAACCTGGCCCATGCTGCCAGGGCTGGAACCAGAGTCACCAGAGTCAGTGGGCCAGATCCAGCCTGCAGACTAGAGGTTGCTGACCCCTGATTTAAATAATAGACAATGGTAGGCTAGTTTTTTTGTATTGTTAATAGTTATCTCATAAGACTTATGTAGTCTGATCTAAATAGAATAATTTAAATTATTTGTTTGTATCATAAGTGACCATTGCATTGACTGAGCTATAAAAACCAACTGTTGGATCTCTTTACTAAAAGGCTAGAATATTATCAAATATACTAGTGAGAAAAAGGAAGTTATACATTGTTAGCCCTGAATTTAGGACTCGGATACCTTGTCTCAGGGTGTGGGAGGGGAGGGGGGAACAGGATTCAGGAGGGACCCACCCTCAGACCAACCACAACCTTTCCATTCGATAATAGGCAAACTTATTGATACACAGTGATAACAGAAAAGAAGCAGTACAAACAATCAAGCAATTCTATATATCTACCAAATTGTAGGGCTGTCAAGAGAATCAAAGTGCATCTGACCAGGATGCAGTGTTCACTCTGAGGCTCTCTCTTAGGTGTCAGATGTCAGCAGCCTGGAGGTGGGATGCTGAGCCCCCTGCCCCACAGTGAAGTGGATTAGACAAACTGGTAGTGTACCCTCTGTCCATGGTGGCTTCGGGGACCCTCCTGGGAGACAGGGACAGGGATCCCTCTCAAGGACCCTCTTGGAGAGAAGGACAGGGAGGGACACAGATGAAGGGACCCTTTGTTACTCTCAAGCCTCTGCTTTTGTATTCTCCTTCCCTCCTGATGACTCTTGATCCATGGCTGTCACTGGTTGGTCTCTCTTTGTTCATCACACCATCCATATAGCTCATCACATGTACACATACTAATTTGGTCTTTCCGGGCCTTCTCCTAATTTGGTCTGTTCCCCCGCTCTGGAACCTTGCTAGCTGGTGCCACCCTATCTCATGGAACAGTACAATACATGCCCCCAGTTTCTCAGATTGTGTGTATATCTGTTGGCCTTGTTGTTTTAGACAGCCTGTCTGCTTTGAAGGCTGCATGAAACTGTGTGCATGAGATCCAGACTTTTTAGAAATCAGTTAACCCCTGCTGCCTATCCTGAACCATTCTAATGCATATACATATACCTATAAGTCAATTCCCAAAAACAAACCTTTAAATACCATTTCTAAGCCAATGTATGTTACCTGTAAAATCAGGAGGAACAGGAAGTAAGCATTTGCAACCCGCTGGAATTGTTCGAATAAGTTAATAGGCAAAAAAGTAAGAATGTTGTATTTAGATGTTTTGATGCGATTGTCCTGAAAAATAACAATAAAAATATAAAACATCAGTGGACATAAAATTTAAATTGTGCTTTTGAAATTTAAAATTGTGCTAACACAAAATGTGCTTCAACTTTTGAACACACTGCAGCCATGGTAGTTGATAATCTCATCTAATAGTACTAGAGTTACATTATATTCCTTAAATGGTTAGTAACAGGTGATGTATAAGCTAAAAGCCACAATTTCATTTATAATGGCAACAATGTTTCAAGTCAACATATAAAATCTTTGAACAATAATAGAAGTTTCTAGATTCTATCATCCCTAGTGTTTCTTTTGGGCAGATAAAAGGAAGCATGCATTTTCTAGGAGAAGGGGTGGATTTAAAAGTGTGGTCAACCCCTACATTCCTTTAGGAGAAATTAATAATACTTAATGAAAGGAATGGGCTTTCCTGATTTTCCTAGCAGATGTTACTACCATGCAGATGCTCAGTTACATATTAAATTCTGCTAAGTGAAAATGCAGCATAAACAGGTAGGAAATTGAGCATTTATGAGTATACAAATGTCCACACACATGCATACAAAATAAAACTGCAGAATTCTATTTAACTAAAAATAACCTAAGACTAGGAACAGACACTGCACATAAACCAATGTAAGTGATCAGAAACTGGTCTAAACCTGTAACAGAACAGAAGTTCAGCACACACAGCCCAGTTTCAAAATAGCAGAACCTGGTCTAAGATAGACCCAGACAGATGTAGTATCAGACTTAATCAGTTTAGATTAGAGCAGTATATCAAATTACTGTCCCAGATCCTGTAGCAAATCACCTTAGTTCACTGCCCTCTAACACCCCAGGCACCCCTCGCAGGGTGGCATGCTAGCCTCAGACAGTGCTTGTCTGCTCCAGGTGGGTGCTGGACCAGCCCTGCCCCCAGGCTGTCACAGACAGGAGCCAAAAAAGCTTCTGTTCCCTGCCTGCACAGCCCAGTGGAGGAAGAGGGAGAGGGTAGAGCAAGGGTGGGCAATTATTTTGGGTGGAGGGCCACTTACCAAGTTTTGGAGGGCTGCAAGGGTAGCCCTGCCCTTGGCAGGTGCCCTGCCTCCTGACAGGTGTCTGCCCCCTGGTCACCATCTTGGGATGGAAGTCCCACCCCCTAAGCCCTGACCTTTGCCACCGGAAGTCCTTCTCCTTCCCCCAGAACTATTCCTTTTGGGAGGGGGGAGGTGGGGGGTTGTTATCTTGGAACAGGAAAAAAAAAAACCACAAATTGTATACTAAAAATCAAATATTGATAAAAACATATTTTAATTTTATTTTAATAGCTTAATAGCTCAAAATGAGGTCTTACTCTTGAATATTGTAGGGGAGTGTGGAAGGGTGGGGGGGTATGGAGGGGTGGGTATGGGGTTTGTGGGGGACTGTGGGTGGGTGTATATGTGGGATGTCGGGGAGGATGTGAAGGTATATGTGGATGTGGGTGGGTATGGGGGGGTTGTGAAGGTGTTTGTGGGGATGTGTGTGTGTGTGGGTGGGTATGGAGTTTATGAGGTTTTTGGAGGGGGAGGGCGGCTGGAGGTGTCTGTGGGGCATGTGTGTGGGGTGTGTGTTTGGGGACATGGGTGTATGTGGGGTGTGTGCGCATAGCAGTGAGTGGGGCTGCCCCCAGAGACATGTGGGGAGGGTGTGGGGGGGTGTGGAGTTGGGAAGGAGTAAGTGGATGGGTGAGGTGTTTGATTGTGTGTGGAAATGGGTGTGGTTGTGGGATTTGTGGGGGAGGGTTTGAGGGTATGGCAGGGTATACATGGGATCCCCCATGTGGACTCCTCTGAGCCAGTCAGCACCCAGCCCCGCCCCACACCAGCCCAGAGCCTGCACGTCCTGTGGCACCTCCCCACCACTGCCAGCAGTACGCAACCTTAGCCCACCCCATGCCCACTCCAGACTCACCCCCCCACCAGAGCAGATCAGCTGAAACTCATGCACAGCCCTGACCCAGCCCTCCCATGTGTGATGTGGCTTGCTGCCCCCTGGGCATGCAGTGGGGCTGGGGCAGCTCTGCATCTGGACTGCCTTTCTAGGCAGCCCAGGTTCCTCCTTCTGGCTGCTGCCACTACCAGCCCCAGCCCCACAGTACCAGCAGGGACCTGCGTGTGCAGCCCCAACCCTGCATGCCCTGCGCCTGCTCCCGACTCACTCGCCCAAGCTCAGCAGTGGTAGCTCAGGACAGAAGCTGCTTGTGTAGGCAGGGGTTTCAAGACAGAAGGGGAAAAGCAACCCCTCCCCCTCTGCTGCTAGCAGTTCCCTGCTGTAGCCACCTGGAGCTGTTCTGCACTGCCATCATTGCTCCACAGGGCAGCCAGGAGGCAGCAGTGATGGCAGTGGAGACACAGGGCAGCCCAGCACAGGCTCTGGGCAGCTGCAGCAGGGAACTGCCAGCAGCGGGAGTGAGAGGGGCTCCTTTCCCCCCTTACTAAGTAACAACTTCTGTCCCACGCTGCAGCTGATCAGCCTGGACAGGTGAGGTGGAGCAGGCATAGGGCATCAGGGTTGTGCATAATGGGTCCCCACCAATACTGCAGTCTTGGGCCAGTGGCAGCAGCAGCCAGAAGGAGCCCCCTGCCACATGGGTTGCCTAGAAAGGCAGTCCAGCTGCACAGCCACCCCAGCCCTGTTGTGTGCCTAGGAGGCAGCAGGACACACCATGGCTGGACTGTGCCTGGGCCAGGGGACTAAGGAACCCACTGTGGGGTGGACAAAGAACTACCACAGGCCAGATTTCGTCCATATTTTTCCCACCCCTGGGGTAGAAAAATGGAGCCTCTCTTCACCACCTTGTCCCAAGCCAGCACAGCAGGGGTTGGGGCCAGACAGCAGGGTGCTTTGTTCTCCCATGCATGTCAAACCCCAGCCTGACCCTACTGCAGGCAGAAGTCATAGTTTGGATCCATGCACCTGTCCACCATGCTGGGAAATGGGGGAGGTGAGCAGAGGGGTGAGCAGAGCCCCACTGCACAGACCTGACCCAGTCCCACCCAGGAGCAGGGGTAACAAGCTGGGGGGGCTGCATGGCAGGGACTCCCTTTTCCTCCCCAGCTATTGTTGATAGATGACAGCTGGCAGGGAAGTGGGGCTGAGGCCACACTGGTCACTCAGGGGTAGCTGGCTGCTCAGGTGGGCTCAGAATTCTCTGGCAGCCTGCTGGGAGGTGTGTGAGAGTGCAGACTGCCTCCGTGCCCTCCCCCAAAGGGCAAACACGAATTCTGTTCATTCACAAACTAATCTAGGGAACTTAGGAAAAGCTACAAAAGTTAATATGAATCCACCTTGGGATTTTTTAACCTCTGTACCTAGCCTAAAGGTCCAGTTTAATCCAAACTACAATTAGCTCAGCTGCTGTGAAAGCCTCGAAATTCTAGTCTGGGAGGTTTCAAGACCTGCAAATATAACTCGTTTGTCTTCTCCAATAGACCTTGGAATTCTAGTTACTATGCAACTATTTTTTATCTACACTGTAGCTGCTACTACTATTGCTACTATTACTTTTTCCTTGGTGACAATCATAATTGCTTTTAAAGTAATATAAATTAAATAACAATTAAGTTATTATCCATTAATACTTTTATCTAGGCAGCAGTGTGCAAAATATTAGATATGAGAGCCTGAAATATGTCCTATTAATTTTTCAACAGGGTAGCAAAGAGTTTACTCAGTATCAGCTATTGTTATATAACTCAAAATCTAATATCTTAAAGAGAAAGAGGTTTCCTTTAAAGTTAGGTTGACATCCAAAAAATATGGAAGATTGCTACTAACCTAAAACAAAACGCTTAGTAAGAGATGTGTATAATTGCCTCCTGGTGTAATGTCCCTGAGATAAAAAACAACAATGAACATTGATCTGATATTTTCATTTTTCCTTTCATTTCAAACAAGTCCATTTTGTGGTCCAAATATACATAGTCACAGGCATGGGCAACTTGTGCCTCTTGTTGGCGGGGGGGGGCACATGCCCCCCCCAACACCAGTCAGCAACTGGGGGGGGTCCCCCAGAAGCCAATCGCACTTATGGGGGGGAGGTGAATCTCATTCACCAAAAAGCAGATGGGGGGGGAGTGGGGGGGCAGGTGAATCTCATTCACCAAAAAGCAGTTGCACTGCTTCTAGTAGTCCTCCCGCAGCCACTTCCGGAAGCAGCACAGCCGCTTTTGCTGGTGGCCCCACACCCCAGCTGGTGCTCACAAGGGGAGGCACCAGTGCTCCTGCCTGCCCCCTGCCCTTCACCTAAACAGGGAGCGTGACCTGACAGGGGGTATACCAGCACTCTCAGGGGGTGCACATGCACCCCTGTGCACCCCCTACACATTGCCACTGGTCCCAGGTACTGTCATAAAAAGAAGCAAGTTGTGTGGAAATGATCACAGAAGATCCATACACATTGTTAAAATACTGGCCTGCCCTTGGTATATATTCTTGGTTTGCAAAGTCTGAGCAGAGATTAAGCACTGCCTCAAGCTCTGTTTCTCTAGGTACACTCTCCAGATAAATATCCTTTGTCAAACACCCCTTTTGAGAGAGGACCGCACAGTTCAAATGTCTATAACCTATAACTAGTTATCATAAGCCTTGTCCATAGTTCTGGCATGCCTCCAAAAGTTCCACCAAACTTGAGGACCCACCAGATAACTCCTTCCTCTTCCATGAACAATAAGACTGTAAAATCAATTAACAGAGACTATGCAAAGGAATTTCTATACTGATCAAACTTTATGCACAAACAAAGCACAAGAAACATCAAGAGCTATTAAAAACAACAGTGCACAAAGCCCTCCCTCACCGCTGAAAAATCTTTTGGGTTTCGGTCAGTCCTCTAAAGATCTCAGGACCATTCTCTTCCTTTCTTCTTTTGTACAAACTTCCCTTCTGACCTACACACCACTTTTCACCGCTGCCCAAACCAGGCAGCCGGGAGAAGCAGCAATGGCAGCCAAGGAAGAAGCACTGGCCCACCTCAGACCCAAGCT